GGGGGGGGGGATTGTGACTTTAATGTCCCTTTTATATTGAAGTGAAATAGTCTGATTAATTTGAATGTACTGTCCTCAGATCAGCTGCGCTTTGGAACATCTTGCATACCTTTTTACCTTGCAAATAACCTGTTAATCTGACTGCTCTCGGTCCTATAAACATATTAATGTGTATGATGCATCAAAATTAGCTCCTTTTGAAGAAGAAAAAAAGCAGTAGAGTCAGAAAAGATTTAGGAAAGTAACCTTTCCTTGAATGAGACATGGGGACTGCCCTTGCTCATTCTGCAAATGTTTCCTGACACCCTATAGCCCCCAGTTGGTCAGTGTAGTAGACAGACAACTAGCATCCATTTAAAAAAAAGGAGGGGGGAGAGGGGGCTTGGCAATATAATCACCGTAGACAATAATTGTCTCTCAGCAAAGGGTTGGCTTTAAGCCAATGGTGTCTGATGGTGCTTTAGTTCTGAGACTTGAACCTAGTTTGACCAAAAATATGTGAAGTGGAAAAATCATCACCTCTTTTCAATTAACACATTTAGTGTGTCTAGCAGAAGGAATTTTAAATGGATTTCTCATAAATGTATCTTATACTGAATAGTGACAGTTTAAGAAAAAAAAATAACCCTTCAAGCTACATTGTTCTGTTGAAATCCAAATGTTTTTACAGATTTGTGGGTAATGGAGGTTCTCTCTGTCCAAGTTGCATATCAAAAGGTACATTTCCATACATTAATAAGAGGGGATTAAAAGGTTTTTGGGACCAAAGCCAAAGTTGAATCACACACTGCTAGAACATTTTGTTTTGTTATACATTTGAAGGTCTGCAGTTTTTTTTACATATGGCCCTTTCATTGACATTTAACTCTACTCTTTACTTAAACTACTCTGATGAAATGATCCATTCTGCCTTGTAAGGATGTATGAAACCAAGATGAAGGAGATGGAAAGTGAGCTTTTAAAGAAAAATGACAGCATTGTTGATCTGAAAAGACTTTTGAAAGAAGCAACAAAGCGTGAACAAAAAACTGAACAAACCATTCAACACCTAAACGAAGAGGTAAGGAAATGAGGAAACCAGTTTTTATTTTTTTCCCCAAAGATCCAGTACAATGTGATCTGCAATTACACCATTTAAAATAAGAACATTGTATGTTTAGCTGATGCAAAGCAATTTGCTATGGTATCAACACCTGCATTAACGTATAACTGCTCGTTCACTGAGCTTAATAAATTTGTACTTGTCACTGCAGCCTATGAAAAAAAATGCCATTATGATGTAGGCTGCTGGCAGTATTGCTGAAAACCGGAATTATCTTCAGTAAACGTAACCCATTATATTGGCATTGTATTACAGGCTTCTGGGAAGCTTTAGAAAAAGAACTGTTATATTTTTAAGTTTGTTTTAGGATAATTATTCTTTCTGTACTTTGGTGCTGAAAATGTATACGGATAGATTATAGAGCGTATACCGTTACAAATACTTGCCGATTTAAGTGTTAAACCTATCAATCCCTTTGTGATCAAGGTATTTTGTGCCTTCCTGGTTCTGGTCACAAGGCTCTACCCATATTTCTATTTTGTTGGGAATTTTTAACACAGTTCTTTTAGCATAGTGTAGCAGTCTGTCTCTTTCTGCCCCATGATAAAGGCAGAGGTAGAGAGATTGTTATGAGAAAGCATTGTTTCGAGAACACTGGTTTATTACTATCAAATGACCGTGACCACTGGTTAGGAATTGATATGTTCCTGGCAGCCCCTTCACTGTGACCATCTCCGTCAGTAACTGCCTATATATTGTACATATACAGTGCACAGGAACATTTATGTACGTGTTTCTGTGCCCACTGCCACAGGTATGTGTGCTTAGAGACAGGGGCGTCCCCAGGCGTAGTGTCACCCGTAGTGGCCGCTAGGTGACCCCCCTCGGGGATGCCATCCGTAAACGTGTGATGTCATCACGCGTGCACGCTTACCTGCTGGCAGCCATCTAGGTGATGGACAACGGCAAAGAGAGGAGAGGACGTTCACCCGGCAGCTCTCTCGTGCAACTGTCGGGCTGTGGGTCCGTGACCTAGTGCCCAACTTTTCAGAGGGGGTGACACCAAAATGACTGTCAGACATTTTGGTGTCACCCGATGCAGGCCGCACCCCTCTTGTGACGCCACTGCTTAGGAACACAGATACACATCCTTGTAATTACTGTGACAGTAAACTCAGTTTAATCTTAAAAATGCATTCAAGTACCTTAACTATTAACAAAAACTGTAGTTTATTTATGTATCACTCAGCTGTAGATCCTCAAAACATCTCTGAATTTTTACTGACACTGCCGTTCCTTCTGAAAGGGGGGCTATTTTTGCATAATTTCTCGCTCACCTTTTAATGCACAATTGTCGTGTCACCATTATAGTTTAGCATGTAACAAATTAATATCCCTTTTTTTTATTTTAAACCAAGGTGGAGCTTCTAAAGCATTTTCCTGAAGATGCAAAGACAGACCAAGGCCTAACAAGAGATTTTCAGATTCTTCGGTAATTGTAACAATCATTTTGGTTTTCCAATGACTGTAGTTTTGTGTTTAGATGAGGTAACTATCTAGTCTAATTGTGGACAATAGGCATGCTACACATGCCCAAAAAAAGTACACAGGGCATGTGCACATGCCCTGTCCTAGCCAGTTGCAGTTAATTCCCAGCTTGACAGCCTGGAGTTGCTGTATAAATGCAACAGTTGTTTAGGGCTACAACAACTAATCGACATAATCGATTATAATCGATTATTGAAAAAGTTGTTGGAAACGTCTTTCTTTTTTAATGGCCCCCCCCCTAAATTAAATGTGTTCCTATTTAACCCCATATCATCCCTTAGTTAGCTCTAATCAACTTCTTCCTCCCCTACTCTTTCTTACTTTTTTTTTTTTTTTTTTTTCATATCTGGTTTTCTTTTCTACCATTAAAGGAGAATTATGTGGTGAGTGATTTTCACTCAGCCTCATAATCTGAGCCGACCTGTGACAATGAAACTGTCACAGGTTGGCTCAGTAGATCGGTAATTGGGGGAGCACATACCGGCGCTCGCTCACTTCTTGATCCTGTGCCGGCAGAGAGCCGTGATGGGAGGGACTGGATTCCCCCCTCCCCTGTCCGATCCTCCAGCGCTGACTGGCGGAACGGACGGGGGAGGGGGCGGGTACAGGTGGCTCTGCCTCTAGATAGGCAGAGCCAGCTGTCCACTCACGCAGCTGGGTGGATCCAGATATAATCCCGTTACCCTTAGGAGAACTATGGGGAAAAGCCTTAACCCCATAGTTCTCCTTTAATATTTTTTTTAGCTTCCATTCATTCGTTTTTTTTATATATTTTAGTGTAATTTTAAACAAGAAATTATAGAATGGTATATTTTTTATTTACAGTAAGAAAAGCTTACAGGTTAAAAAAAAAGCACATTTTATTTAAAAAAAATTACGTATAAAAATTATAATTATAGAATTTAGAAAGTTGATAGACAAAATAATCTTTGAAAAACAGTATTGCCAATAGTGTCTAATCTTTCCCCAAAACAATGTATGTAATACTTTACATACATACAGCTCTGCATGCTGATATGAAATCAACTTACATTCATTATTTAAACAAACATATTTTTATTTTACTTCGGGTTTTTTTTTCTACTTCCTGGTCTACCTGGCATGTTAGTGTATTGGCAGCCCATTCATTTCAATGGGCTGTCTAAATGCAACACCTGTTATCACACCAGAAAGAAGTTCATGGGTTCTAATTGCTTTTACTACTGAACTGATAAAGAGAAAAATATCAACATAAGCATTCCTTTTTAAAGTATACATTAAGACTATAAATGTGTGTATCTATAAAGTTTTTCCATTTCTGTTAACAAAAAGATGTTTTATAGAACTAAACATTCTTATCATATCTTTGTATATATCTGAGTTTTTACAAGCCTTTGCATCCTGCATTTTACAGATAAAATGAGTTGTAATATTTGTCAATAGCAACATTGATGATATTATAAATGGTCCAATTCCTCTCGCTTTCCCTCTATCAATAATTCTGTACAAAGTATATACAGCATCAAATATTGATTGCTTTAATTTTGACTGGATTCCGTTCAGTTTGTAAACTGTCAATATTTCTGTTTCAGATTAACCAATAAACGCTTAGAAGATGAAAAGGCTCAGCTGATTCACCAACTGGAAATGTATAAACAAAAATCCGGTACATCAGGTACATAATATCTGCACTACCTGCATTTGTTATATAATTACCGCAAGCAAATATTACTTTTAACTTCATTTTCATTTTATAAGCATAAGTGGTTATATGCTTGAAAGCCATAACCAACATACACACAGTTTTCCATCCAAATGGGTCAAGGATAACAATAGTCTTTTACCTCTACTCCCAGCCCTAACAATAACAAATGCCCATCTCTAAAATATTTCAGGACCCCAATCTAAACTCAAACAAAGGGCCAGCTCATAACCCTTCAGGTTTTTGGAGCAGCCAGACTGTGACAAACAAAAAGAAATGGTCAGTGAAGTACAAAAAATTGCCCCAGCATTGGGAATTAGTGGGAGAAGTAATGGTGCCCCAACAAACAATGGAAGGAGCAATAGTTTTCCAGCCTTGGTGGTCATTTGGAGGAGGATTAATGCCTTAGCATTGATGGTCAGTAAGAGGAAGAAGCGTGCCCCAGCATTGGTGTTCATGGAGAGGGAGAATAGTGCCTCAGTGATGCTGGTCTGTGGGTTAGAGGGAGGAGAAATAGTTTCCCAGCACTGAGATCAATAGGAGTAATAGTGCCCAATCGTTGGGGTCAGAAGGAATAGGGAAAAGTGTTCCATCGCTGAAATCAGTAGGAGGAATAGTGCCCCCTGGCTGGTTCAATGAGCGAAATAGTACCAAACGAATGGGGTCAGTGGGAAGAATAGTACCCTATTGATGGAGTCTGTGGGATTTGGAAAATTCCCCCAGCATTGGTGATTATTTACCTTTTCTATATATCTTGTACTGCTCCTTTACTGACTGGATGAAGTCACAGCCATAAATATTCAGGCACCATTGGGACAGGAGATCACTCTGCCCGACAGTGCTGGTTAAAGTACATTACGGAGTGTCCATTGCCACTTTGCAGAAATAGCATATGGGGTCTTTAGAGCCAGTAACAGCAAGCAACAGACCCTAGTTTGAGGGCCAGTAGTGTAGATAGCTGTAAATATAGGTAATATATAATGAAAGTAGTACCGTACATGTAGATGTACATTCACAAACCTAAGACCATAAATTATATTTTTTGTACTTGACTCAAAATTGATTCTTGGAAGTTCATTGAGGGACACAGGATGCAGCGACATTTAGGTTGTACTGCCCGCTAGAGGATGTTTTGGACAATTGTAAGCCAAAAAAAGGGAACAGCCTCGTATAACCCCTCCCACTCCTAGCATTCTCCAGCTTCGGAGCAAAGTAGTGCCAAAGGGGAAGGACCTGTTTCCCCCAATGAACTCGAAGAAAAGGATTTTACATTGTGTTCTTTTTTTTCTCTTTATTATTCATTGAGGAACACAGGATTCAGTGATAATCGGGACATCCAAAACTAGTCCAATTGGAGGGGTGGGCAACACTGCAAACAAAATGCTAATACGCCCAAAGATAAACTGGGTACCACCTGCAGCACCAGATGCTTCACAGACCTTATGCCCAAAGCTGGAATCCACTTTGTAAAACTTAAAGAATGTATAAACAGAAGATCAGGTGGCAACCTTGCAATTCTGGGAAACAGATTCCGGATGCCGAAAAGACCTAGAAACACTCACAGATCTGTACCTTATCCTTGAGACCATAAGCTTGAATGCTTAAAAACAAGTTGCTAGTAGAACAGTTAAACTTTTCTCAATAGATAAGATGTCCATCCTTCTAGGACACTAGCAAAAAACTAAGGCAACCATTTTAGAGGTCTACCAGCTGGGCACTGTGTTTTTTTGTTTGTCAGTGGCAATACAACCCAAATATCACTGAATCCTTTCCCCTCCCCCCATGAGCTAAAAAGAAACACCTGTGGATTTGTACCCTAAATTTTCAGGCTTTTGGACTGGTAAATGATCTCTAATCCCAAGAAAAAAATCGAATATATTGCAGCTTACCAATCTTTAATATGGTGGCGTCACTTCATGTGAGCTGACCTGAAAGCAAACTTATCTTTCTGTAAATAATAATCTCCCCACCCCCCATCTAATGGAGATGAAGGGAGGAAGACATGTCTGAAGCAGTGTTCATTTTGGCACCAAATTTCATTTTCGTTTTAGTCTTTTGATGAAAATAAATTTTTATTTTTAGTCACATTTTAGTCCTCAGATTAATTTGTATTTTTAGTCTAGTTTTAGTCGGCGAAATTCAAGTCGGTTTTAGTCGACGAAAATCGAATAGGTTTATTTTTAGTGTAATGCATTATATAAGCAATTCTCTAGCATTTCGAAACTTTTTATTATATATCCCTGGAGTGATTTTTATTTAACTTTTATTTTTTTTACTTCATAGCTATAACATGAGGGGCTCACAAGCCCCCTATGTTATGGCACATTGGAGGTGACAAGTTCTCCCCTAGTGTCACCTTTCCATTTCACTGGATTCAGCTGCTGAGGCAGCTGAATGTCAAAACAGCAGGCAGTAGCTTGAAGCAAGAGCCAGCTTGTTATTGGTTATTTTAAATTACAATAGCAGGCTGGCTATTGCACCTGCCTGCTGTCAATCAGCAGAGGAGGAAACTGAAGAAGAAAGTTCTCCATCGGGTCCTCTTCTGTTGATTGACAACAGGCAGGTGCAATAGCGAGCCTGCTATTGCATTTTAAAATATCCAATAGCAGGCTGGCTATTGCTCCCAGCCTCTACATACAGAGAAGGCATGGGGGCGGGGCAGAGGAGGAAGGAAGCAGGGCATTGGAGGAACGGGCTGGTGAAGGACCGGGACAGTGATAGCAGCGGGTAGGGTTGCACAGATACCAAGTACAGTACTCGGTACGAGTACATGTACCGATACTTTTGAGCTCCAAGACTAGACTAGAGAAAATGTCAAAAATTGGTAGGCAGCTGTCATTTGTAAGGAGCATACGGAGCTCCTGGGATTTGTACATCTCTGTTTTAATGTACGATTTTGTTTTTATAAATATAAATAAAGGGATGCACAGATACCAGTTTTACGAGTACTGATAATTGCCCAAGTACTTACAAGTACGAGTACTGATACATTTTTGTTTAATGTCATGTGACAGTTTTTCTAAAACAATACAGACTAATGATTTCAGGACAGTGGTGGAGTGCCAGAGCAAGGTCCCAGCTGCAACCCTCGTAGTTCTCATGAAAATGCCAACTATCTGCACTGGTACTCGAAAAGTATCTGTGCATCCCTAGCAGCGGAGGTACGAGGGGGGGGGCAGCGGGGCAACGCAGTGACAGTCTCTGCTCCCCGCTGGCTGCAGTGCTCTGTGTCTCCGCTGTCTCTGCCAATACAAGCGGGGATTGAAAGGGACACAGACTGCTGCAGCCAGCACCAGCGGGGGGCAGTGCTGCAAATCGATAATGAGAATCGTTGAGAACGATTCCCATTATTGATTTCGTAGACGAAAATTGAGTAGTGAACGAAAATCGTTTTCGTCCCATTAACTACTCTTTAAATTTAGTTTTTGTCACTAAAAAATGGCCAAAAAAATGAAAAACTTTCGTGGCCAAAATTAACACAGGTCTGTAGTCCATCCTGGATACAGTGGAGAAGTAGGTTTAGTCACCCAAGGACCGGAAGTGTGTCACTCAAAGAATTACCACATGAAAATAAAAGGGGGGGGAGCCTGAAAAGTGAATGCAGCCACCTTTTTGATGCAATATAATACATTTTTGTTTTACATATGCTTTAAGCAGTAAAAAAGGTATTAAGCCACTTCCTGTTAACTCATTTCTCCTGCTCTCCAAAAACCTGTGCACAATCTTTGAAGAGAACATGATGTTAGATGCCGGCTTTATGTTGAATATGTTAAACCTAAAAATGACAGATTAGAACATAGTGATAGGTGGGCTTTGCATGTGTTAAGAGATAACTGTGTGTGTGTGACAGTCTGTGTATTTATTTAGAAATGGCATATTTTAAGAAATAAGGTTCTATGGCAATGTAAAAACCCATGTCGTTTAGGCTGCTAAATCTAAAATGTATACCCAGCATGTATTCTCTAAATATAGTATAATGAGGCAGATGACTATATAATGCTCATTGCTGTGGGCGCTGACAGGAGATTTCTCTGGTAAAGCATGGCCTGCTCGACATTTAATGGTAAATCTGTCTGCATAAAGGCAATGCAGGTTATCATCTGGATGTTGAGTATTAACAGTGGCATTATTTTCCCCATCTGCTACAGGAATGACATCTGCTTTCTCTGTTGTATGTTACACTAGACATGAGTGACAGGATGTAACAGAAGCTTCTCTTCTATGCTATTCTCTAGGGTCCGATGTGGTGCTTGAACAAGAAAGAGTACACCAACTGATGGAAGAAGTAGTGGATCTGCAAACATACATAAAGACTTCAGATTTAGAGAAACTACACTTGAAGGTAAAAAAAAAAACACCTATATGAGATAAATAGGAAGGGAATTAAATAGCCAGTTCAATCTAAATGCTAAAACAGACTCAAGTACAGAAATTCTCAGCTCTCGCTACACAGACAAGATTCTTCTTACCCTGCTGCTTCTCAGCTGTAATTGGTAGAGGCCATTTACATACAATGACCAAACCTCCCTGGGACAAAAATCTCAAATCAGGCAAATAAACAGAACCCACTGGGGTGGTTTACAAAAGAAAAATGTCATCTGTCAATTGACTGATTGCTATGAGCAACACACCTCTGCTCATTTTCTGCATGCAAATATGGTTTTTTTGTATGTGAAGTTATAATTTTAGAACCTCAAATGTGAAAATAAGGTACAAACCTCAGTACTGTTTAACAGAAAATTTGTAAACGGACACTTGAGATCTCTTTTTGAAAACTCTAGCAGGGTCATTCACAAAAGGGTGAAGAGTTTGGAGAAGGCAGGAGAAGTGAACAATCTAGGACAACATAGCTGAACTGGAAAGTGAGCTGAATTGGGAGAATTTTTCCAAATCAGCTATTTTGGCCTAAATTGTTCACTTCTCCTGCCTTCTCCAAACTCTTCATCCTTTTGTGAATAACACTGTAGATGCCGAGATATCATGCTTAGCCTTTAGTTTCAATTCTTTAAGTCTTTAACCTGAAATAAGTATGCAGAGCAGCAGCCCTAATTTCATTCTGTCACTTGCTACATGCTTTAAGCTGGGTAACCCAAAGACAGCCAGCCAATCGGTGTTTTCAGTTAAAATTGAACTTGTGCTTTCATGTCGATTTGCTACTCGCTGTAGCAGTAGGTGTTCTAGAAAGATCAGTGGAAGGGCTCACTGCAAAGTCATAAAACACTAGACAAAAAGCCTTGCAGTTAAGGATCTGCAGGTATCTCTTATACTTGATACAAAAATCTGTCTTTCAGTCTACCACATCAATACAAAATAAGGCCTTGTACATATACGGACTTTAGCATGTGAAAGACCAATGTGTACAGCAAGCTTTCCCAAAGTATTTTGCAAAACTTTCAGCAAGCCTCAAACTGCTTGGGTAAAACAAACCGATCTTAAGCCGCAATTATATCTTCAGCAGGCCTTCAACAAGCTTCAAGCAAAGTCTAATGCTTGTGGATGTATAAATGTACACCAGATTTTGCTGGCAGCAGTGTACTGCATACAAAAAATGCCCATAGTGCATCTCAAATCTTATGGATATTTATATGATTACGTCCGGTTGAGTTGAGATGCGTAAGATGTTCAGAATGACTGAAGGCTGAGGCCATTCTACACTGCCTAGACATTGTTGTTTAAATTCTCCCCTGGCACTGAATAAGTCATTACCTAGGCAGCAGTGGCAGGACAGATGCAGATTGACCTTGGCCTTCAGTCCAAAATACAGCTGCAGACACTGGGTTTTGCTTGATCATACATTACTGGACACGGAATTATTTCTGGATCGTACATTACAGGACACAGATAATTATTTCTGGAACCAATGGGTTATACAGCTACCTGTAGGTGATTGGATGCTGGTAAATCAAAGCTGTAAGAAAATCCCTGTATAATCGCTCCCACTCCAAGCCTGCCGATGTTTTTCTTTAGTGTCCTCCTGAGAGAAGCACATCTTTTTTTTTTTTTTTTTTTCTTCAAGACTCTTCTAGCAGGTTTTCCCTAAGCTGCTGATAGCCACTGTAACACCTCTAAGCAGCTATCCAGAATTGTTTTTTTACCTTGGCGGGTTGTACCCAAGCTCTGCTGGAAGTTGTGAGGTGTGAAGCCCTCTATAAAGCCAAGCTGCTGTTGCCACCATGGCGGTGTGTCTGACTTTATCTGTATGGCTAAGGACCCTGAGTCCATCTTGACAAACCCCATGGCTCTTAAACAGCTAGAGTTTTTTTTTTTTCCTGTTGCCCTGCCAATCAACTGCTGTCATTGCTCACGTATTCTGGCCCGGTCAAAATACAATGTACACAGCAGAGACTGTGGAGGAATCTGTTCTATTTTTTTTTTATTCAGCCTGCAGGTTGAAGGCAAAAAATATAATGTATGGCTAGCTTAAGGCTGGGTTCACACCTAGGCGTATTAAATATGCGCGTTTGTCGCACGTTTTTACCGCAATTCGCGGTTAAAAAAAACCACACGACAAATGCGCATTTCCGAGGGCTACTTGGCTGTATTTCAATGGAAACGCGCAACAAAAACACCCCAAAGAAGCTCCTGTACTTCTTTGGGCGTAGGACGTTTTGTAGCGCGTTCATACGGCCTGTAATATGCCCAGGTGTGAACCATACCCATAGGAAATACTGGGATTTCTGTGTTTGAGCGGTTTGCAGAGCGTTTGAACGCGCTACAAAACGCCCAGGTGTGAACCGGGCCTAAGGATGAATTCACAAGTATGCTCTTAAATATGCTTTGTTTTTTTAATAGACTTTGCTTCCTGTAGTTTCCACTAATAACATCTTCAATAGCTATAAAAGTACCCCATGCAAAAAATTATCTACATGTGATTCATTTTACATGCTGCACAAAAAAATGTGCTAGTGCAGAGTACCTATTTATACTCACCCGATCTTCTGTGCCAGGTGGCTCTTAGACTGTTACCGGGATCGTCTCTCCTGCGGCGGTCTAGGAATCCTCAAGTCATCCCATCCAATACTGTGTACAGGATGTGAGGACGCTTAGGGACATTACGCCTCTGTGGTGGAGGAAGCGCTGCTGGCTCAGAGGATCAGGTGAGTATAACCACCTTTTTTTTTTTTACCCTCTGCAAAAATGAGCAGTTAACCCCTGCCGGGCAGGGGTAGCTCCACTGCAAGGGTTAAGAACATTTCTGGCTAGAGAGCTTATTTAAGGTGTGACACTAACACCTAATGTGCAAAAATAGACTATAGGCATCTGTTGCTACAGACTGAGGCAGTTGTCTCTGCCTCTTATTCGGACAATGTATTGGGAGAATGAGATATATTGTTATAGGAAGACATTTTTATAAAGAAGGCAGAGAAGAATTAGAAAAGGAAAGTGACTGGCAGCAGAATTACATTGTGTTGGTACAGATTTATACGTATGCACTGCTATAATACTCGCCACTCTAAATTATTCATCTTGAGTGACACTCGTCTTCAGGGGCTTTATACAAATCAGCAATTACAAAGCTTACCAAGAACTTGTTGTTTTGTTTTAGGAAGAGATCAAAAAGTTGAAGAAGGAACTTGACAATTTTGACCCTTCCTTTTTTGAAGAGATTGAAGACCTGAAGTATAACTACAATGAAGAGGTTAAAAGGAATATACTGCTGGAGGAAAAGCTTAAGGCTCTTTCAGCGCAGTTTGGGGTTCATGTGGACATTCCCGCTAATGTAGATTGTTGAAGATAGCAACTGACTCAAATGAGAGCAACGAGGGGGATATATTGAGCAGGTTACCAAGAGTTAAGAAAATGTTTTGAGCCTATCAGATTGTTCCGCATTTAGTTAAGGATTTGCAATCCTGGACAACTGCCTGTGACACAAAAATCTCAGACCATTTTCCACCAAACTGAAGTAGTTAATGGAATGTGTTCTCAAAGTAATTCTCTTTGCAATTGTTGTGTACGCCCTAAATGTGCAAGATTGATAACTCTCCCACAGTGTGTAGTCCCCAGCCAATAATCAGCATTTATTGTGCAATGATTAGGTTTTAGGGAATTTGGTTTCTGCTTTCTGCACACAATTACCAGGGACACATTTGTGTTACATTTTCCAGATACAGATGTCACAACCCACCTCTAGGATATATTTGACTGATTATTATTTCAGATGGATTGTGATGATAAACACTGTTGAGCCATGGATACAGGTCTATATACTTTCAATTAAAAAGAAAAAAAAGATTTAATGAATAACAGCATGGGTTGTGGTTTTAGGCTGCATCTACTGCTGTAAGGAGCACTTATTTCTCTCTGAAGAAAATACACCGTGTCAAGATTTTGTATTGAATAGCTTTAATTTATACATCTCTGTACATGTAAATATATTGTAGATTTATTTTAGATGAGTTTGTACATACTTTTTGTACTTTTAATCAAATAAAGTCTTTTCACAAAAATGATTCAATGCATTCGGTTCTGTTTCTATTTTGTTTAGCGGTACAAAGAGACCCAAGGTTACATATTCACTTGTGTGGCCTTAACAGATTCTCCACCTTGACCTACTCCATTGGAAATAAAGCACTCCTGAACTGCTCTGACAGAAAAGGAGTTTACCTATTTAACTCACTTGTCAGATAGATAAAGAGAAGCCCAGGAGCAGAGTATCCTGTACCTTATGAAATGGGTCGTGTCTGAGGGTCTGCAATTAACAGCAGCTTAAATGCCAGGCACAGAGCGTATGCTGCAGTATCTTGACAGTCTAAATTATGCCAAGTCAGGTAGGAATTCCTAAAAATTTCCAGCTCTTGCATGGAAAACATGACCTAAACAGCTTACACTTTTAATTATTTACACTGGTTCCAGGGTTAATTTGATTTATACCTTGATGTACAAGGATTCATTGTACAGGATGTTGGACCCAAACTGAAATACCAGCCAAAATATTTTCTAGTTTTGGTTAAAGTTTGGAAGGGTTAGAACTTCCGTCAGGTTTTCATTGCTGTCTGTGCACATTATCATTCTTTCCAAATACACCAATATCTGAAATAATAACTAAACCCAATAACAAAAATGCAATATACTCAAGCTTACAAGTCTTTATGTGTGGTGGCTCCATTAGGGTTCTTTTGGTTTTTATCTTTGTAGACTTTAATGTGGAGCCATACCTAAAAGACTCAAGTGCACTTTCTTAAGGTGGCCATACACTGTACAACCATCGCAAGACCTTAGTCTTGCGATGGTTGTAAAGGGATTAAAACGTACGATCTGCCCATCTTGGACGGGCAGCTCGCACTCTCGATCATCTCAAGCCACGCCCCCTGAGGGGCAGGCTTACACTGACTGCAAACGGGCAGTCATCGCAAGCCACGCCCCCTGAGGGGCAGGCTTACGCTGACTGCAAACGGGCAGTCATCGCAAGCCACGCCCCCTGAGGGGCAGGCTTACGCTGACTGCAAACGGGCAGTGTGCGCGTGCGCACACCGGCCCGTTCGGCAGTTGTCGAACCAGCAGGCCACCAACTCGCCGAGAATCTTACGATTCCCGGCGGGTTTTCAAACATGCTGGGTCGATGGAAGACGTGCGACCGTACAGTAGAAACGGTCGCATGCCTTCCATACACTGCGGGATTTCCCGCGATTCTCGTACGAGAATCGTGCAGTGTATGGGCAACTTTAGAGACCTGAAATGTCCCTATTTAGATACTTCAACCAGATATTCCTATACCTACAGACAGACCTTCCCCATAAACATACAACTTGAGAAACAAAGGTTAATCACAGGTGCTGGGAAATGTGTCGCTTTATAAAAGTAACTACATTTTCAACCTGATGCAGGTCTTAACTAACACCTCCAAAACAAGCTTTGTTTCATTATTCTAACCAATAACACTTTGCATGTTTTATTTAGGGTTCTTAATTTCTACCTGCCGAAAAGCAGTTTTGCTGTTGACAAGTGGTCTTTAAGTTTTCAGCATGCAATACATTGTGTCAAGAATGCCATGTTCACAATACTCACGCTACGCAAGTCTGGTCTAGCGTGATAACTCCTAGAGCTCATTATCAATATTACCTTTTTAGTCCAATAAAACATCTTTTAAGCTGTCATAATGAAAAGCATCTGTTTTTGCAAGTTGTGTCAATAAACTGTTGGAAGCCTCTTCATATTCATATTTACATAAATTCATTCTGATCAAAACTGGCTTTGAATTCAGGTATGTTTCCTTAAGCGGCCAGGCTAATCCAAGATGATGGCGATGAAGCTAAAAGAAAAAAGGATACATTCCTGTCATAATGCAAAATGTGAGCCTTCGAATCATAGAACTTCCATTGCCACCAGCACACCCCCTTTTGGCCTGCAATCTCATTCTGAAGCCTGGGCTGACTATTCCTGGTTCTGCCCAGAGCAACTACTCTGGGTTGTCCCCACTACAACATTACAAGCCTCTACTTCTAGCCATAATGCTGCTCTCTTCTTTTGGAAACAATAGTTGACTAAACTCTAAGTGTCACTGAACCAGAACAAACATTGTTTAGAAAATCAAAGTAATGGAGCCAGTAAAAGCATTTTCCACAAGGTGGTCAGCAAATGGTATGACCAGTATTTCTCTTTTATTACTGGTTTCCTCTAAACCCTGACAAATAGAAGGACAATTCTAACATTATGTTCACTGTTAAAGAGAACTGTCAATCCACACAGCAGAAAATGTCATCATGGGTTACAGGCACTATTTTTTCAATATGACCTGTTTGGGTCACTGGAACTCTTTGATGGTGTTGCGACAGAAATAACAAAAGGGACAGATAGGGGAATGCAGAGACCAGAAAGGAGCCTGTGTAACTCTTTAAAGCTGAACCCCAGGCAGATTTAAAAAAAAAAAAACATTTTATGCAGTTATGTATTGATTTCTCGTGCATGCTCATGCTAGTTCTATGTACGCCTTAAAATATTCCATACTAGGAATGGGAGAATTAGTCCTCAGAGCCAGCAAGGACTTTATTGCTTTTCAGTGCCGTCAGAAGACACAATTTTTGCAAATAAGTGGTGTTTGGATGTTTCTTTAGTTTTAAAAGATTATGAAGTGAGAAGTCCTCATGTGTACACTTGTTCTGGGTAGTAAAGCCATCAGATTGTGACAGTCATGACTCATTGTCTGTGCTAACTGTACTTTATAATATACTAAATTAGTTTACATGGAGCACACTGTACGGTATAGTAGCCATTTAAGCGGATACCACCGTATGGTCATACAAAAGTCACTGATCAATTGATCTAGTTAGTCTGCTGTACTCCATCTACAATTAAGGCCACATCTAAACCATAAGCTACTCCTCCCCCATGCTGATCTAACACATTATGGAATGATGTTTGGGAACCCTAGACCAGTCTATTAATATTAGTTCATCAAGGAATACATCTGACTAAAATGTTTAATATCCAAGGGTTTTTCATTTCTCAATAATTCACCGCGTGTACCTTTATTAAAGATCCATCCTTGCAGTGCCATACAATTCCTTCGACTTTTCCCTCCTGACAATGGTTAAACCAGGATATGAAGCTATTATGATTCAGGGCTGGAAGATTCTTAATGAGAAATGTGCCATGAGGGACAAGGAGATGAATGGGATTCTTCTTATTGCCAATACCTAAATGAATGACATATAAATTACATAAGTTATCATTTGTATATCAGTGCATGTGAACTGTATTTCATACATCAACCACCTGACAGTATGTATTGTAAAATAGTGCAGATTGTATGAGAAAATAAATGTCAATGGCACGTGTCTTTTTACAGGAGTGTTATAAAATAGAGAAATGGAAAATTAGACAAAAGGAGCTTGGCCAGAATCTAACTTAACCCCCTTAGTGCAGGTACCATATACCTTTGCATTTCCAGTGCACCTGGGGAGAAAGTAAACCCTGGCCCTGTATATTTTCCTTACCTTGAGCTCTACAATGAAGCTCTGGTCCAACCCCTCACCTTCCTACAATGCTCTCCGTGTTTATTCCTTCTGGATGCCAAGATGGCAGCACTGCATTGCGATGCTAACAGGGGCAAAGCCCCAACTTGGAGCTCAAGACACAGGTGATAAAACAAGATTTGGAGGTTCCTTGGGCACAAAGACATACCCCTGTCAATGTAGTTACAGGTACCTTTTGATGATTACTATAAGGGATACAATTAGCTTTAGATGCTCAGGTCCTTCTGGATGATTGTTCTAAGATTGTACATTTAGCTTTATATTGCTAAATGTGTGCAAGGCTCACTTATAGCAAAGCCATAACTGTCTGAACAAAACTGTTTACAGGAAAACCAGAATATGGGCCATATTATATATTCCAATTTCATTATGCTGGAAGTAAAAATCATTAAAGGATTTAAGCTACAAATAAAGCCATTGTGTCATTTATATAATATACTCACCATATGGGTTTCCATTTATATTGGTTCCTATGAGTTCCAGAGTTTGATCAAGAAGATCCGACAAGTGAACAAGACAAATCTCCAAAGATTCCGAGTCTTCTAATTGTGGCTTTAGTATGATACCAACGCCTAATTTATAATTCACAACACATGAATGCCAGCAGTACTGCTTATTGCCATTCTCCACAGGCACCCAACCTACAAAAAAAACAACATACATATATCACACAAAATATACATTTAAAAATACAAAATATAATCATAGTCATCATTTAAAATGGGATGGGCTTTCAAAGCTTACTTGCACCCTGGATGTGTGCCCCACAATCACAGCAGCTGTAGCTGCCCCTTGTTGCTTCCAGGCAGCCACAGTTTTGTGTTAAAGGATTAATAAAGGCTGGGCGTTTTTGACCTTAATGCATTCTCTGCATAAAGGCATTAAGAGCCGCTGTAGGTCCCCGAAGTGATCCTCTGTCCCGAACTTCCTGGTTGTGGGGGAGGATACTGAGGGCAGAGGAGGCATAGGCTCCTTCTGCCATCAGTCAAACTCTTGGAGCGGAGAGGAGAAGCGTGGCCTGCCACAGGACTGTGTGCGTCTACAGACGCACGCGGCTGCTGTGGGCATGGCTGGGAACGCACAGGTGCCTCCACAGCAGGTGCTTAGCTGATGGAGGCACCCTTGCAGGGAGCGGGAAGGGGAGCGATGTGGGGACCCACTAGAAAATGAAGAATTGAAGAAAGTCTCCTCTTAATAAAAAATAAATAAAAGGTTTATTATTACTTTAACATGAGGAGGGCAGCCTCCCATACCTTCCCTTGGGCAGGTGCAGGGACCATAGGAACTGGAAAAGCTGGAGGGACAGCCAGCGACACCAGAGACGGTGTGTATGTGTGTGTGTTTGTCATCTCATAAGTGTACTCATAGTGTTATGAATAAGGGGGTGGTGATGAAATTATTCATGGGGTGCTGTGCACTGGACTGCATATACTTCTGACCCACATTGCATACTCCTGTTTCCTGTACTCATACCGTCAAGCCCTACATTCTGTACGGCGTTCACCACTCATACCTCACTCGCCATCCTGACCGCGTTGCAGCTCGGAATTTTATGCATTTGGCAGCCAAAGGGTTAAAAGACCTTTAAAACAGCCTCTCAATCACCTCCATACAAATCCTTTACCTTTTGTGGAAAAGAAATCTTGGCCGCCTGCCAACTTTCTTATGTAAAACACACAGCAAATATCTGAAGGGCTAGTTCACACCAGCCCCAGTGCGTTCCAGCCCGATTGGTGCCGGAACGCACTGGATCCCATTCCGGCCAGCTGAGTTCACACATCGGTGCCTGCGTTCTGGTCCAGTGCAGTCAGAAAATGCTGCATGCGCTATTTCTTTTTTCTGACCGCACCAGACCGTAATGCAGGCATTGATGTGCCATGCCTTCGGGTGCTGGCGATCACACTGTGGCCGGGGGGCATGGCTGAAGTGCCATTGACTTCAATGCACAGGCACGAACCCTCCCGCTCCAAAAAAAAGTGAGCCGGCCAGAATGTGATCCAGTGCATTAAAGGCACCAATCGGGCCAGAACGCACTGGAGCTGGTGTGAACTAGCCCTAACTCCTCATTCACCCTTGCAAATCTCTACATTAGGTGCATTGTTATGCCTTTCTCACGTAGAGGCCAGGCCATTAATTTTAATGGGCTGCCCTATGTGCAACATGTGCTGCGTGAACATTTCTGAACTTCAAGCTTTGCACACGAAAAACGCGTCTTGCTTGGCAGGTTTGGGGTGCCATTAACAATAAATGACACTGCAACTGAGCTATTAGAAACCACTGAAACTTGCCTTTAGAGACTTTGTTGTGATCTTTGCTAATTAATGACTTCACAATACAAGCAACTAGAAAGGTCAGGGATGGCTAGTTCTAAAGATCTTTTACTGTTTGTTACATAGACATTAGGAATCTTCAATGTCCATCAATGTGCAATGCACAGGTGCTGTTCAAGTAAAAGACCCAACAGATTTAGTTTTTAATTTCCACGTTTTATACCCTTCCCATAGAGGTACCTGGTGTATGGCCAATTTCATCAGGGTATGGCTTTCCATCCACCTTTTTCACACCTTTTGCTGGAATCCAGAAGTCAGGCACAGGTCTGAAGTCTTCATCAACATTCCAAGTGAAGTCTAAAAATGACCATCACAAACTCACTTTTTATTTAGACACATTGCAAATTCTGTACATACTGTATTTGTATATATTTTAGAGCAATAATACTAAATGAAACCAAACAGTAGTTTAAACACATATTTCATTTTTCTACTGGTCTTCCAGTAATTAAAGGGGTTCTCACATATTGTTTAAGCGTTCATTCACACTGAGTTTTTTCTGCTAAAAAAACCCCATTAATTTCTATGGACATGTTCACATCAGAGCGTTTAGTCGCTTGCAGCAAAACACCCGTCGCTTGAAGAAAGTACATGAGTTTCTTTTTGACAGATTCTGCGCTTCTTCAATGGAAATTCTAAAAAACACGTGTTTGATGCGTTTGTCCATTCACATCAATGTGTCACTATCTGCGCAAGTAAAAAATGCACAAAAACGTGTAAGAACGTTCTACACAACGTGCAAAGACGCTGTCGCTCAGTTGTGAATGAGGGTTTAAAGTACCTCTGACAATACTTGCTGCCTGGCTCTCATGCTGACCCATTGCCCTCAGCACTCTGGAATACAGATCAGGAAAGTGAGAGGTCCTGATTAACATACTTGGGATGGATCTGTGAATGTAGCGGTTATAAAGTAAAAGAGTCATCATGAAAGCCAACACTTACAAACCTCATATTTCCCTCATCACTGTTTTCCTTAAAACAGACTTTCCATATCAAACGGAAAGGCCACTTTTTTGCAAGTCCCCTGCCTTCCTCCACTACCACACTTTAAAAAGCCTCACTGTTGCCTCCTAGAAAAGCTGGGCACTGAAAATCCTGCTATGTGTTGGATTCTCGCAGGATTTTGAGCACCCAGCTCTGCAGAGTGACATCACCTGTGCCTTCAGGAAGCTTTAGAAGCAAGGGCCAAATTAAATATATTTTTTTACATACTATTACAATAGAGGGTGAATACATTTGCACTGCAGCGCACCATGATGCACATGCCAAGCACTGTGGTGTACTGCACTGAAAAATGCTGCCAGCCCCCTTAAAATGAATGACTTACTTTAATGCACGTTTGACACAACACATAGCCTGAATGGGCCCCTAAATGCCACCTTGTAGTAACACTGACAAAACCCCTTCCATTAGGAGCTGCGCTGTTAAATACCTTTGGAGCTTCCTTTTGAAGAAACATGTTTTTTAAATTTCTTATCTGCTTGCTTCGTTGGCTTCCTGTCAAAACGAGCCCACAAGTATGGGCAACCTGTAGGAGGAAAAAAAAGAAAGAGTGAACAAAACAACAAGTACTACACAAATATATCATTCAAATCGGTAAATGGTGAAATCCCAAGTTGTATCTTAAGTGTGTTGTGTCAGTGCTAAGTAATAATGGTCTGGGCTGCAGGACCTTTCATACAAGACTAATGAAAACAAAGGTCTCAGATGCATGTGCTAGCAAACTGCTTATAGTTACATAGTATGCATCTCTCTAAACTGATGACCTGTGGGGGCTTCTAAAGCGTTGTCTATGGACTTTAGGGGTAAAGAATTTTGTCGCAGTTTCACAGACGCACACCATTTTTAACCTGGGCATGTTGCTTATCTAATTAATCCCTGTAGCCTCATCTTTTATATTGAATTCAAAAATAGGTATTTTGTGTTTTAGGGCATTTAAGTGCATTTTTCACTACATTTTGGGGTTTGATAAAGAGTTGCGCTACTATCGTGCAACATAAAAATTTGCAACTGCTGACATTTTATTCTACAGCGTCTTGGCTTTTCGGAAAATATATAATGTTTGGGGCTTTAAAGTAATTTTCAGGCCTAAAATGTGGTTTATAACATGGGTGCAAAAAACTAAAAAAAAAGGCCTCAGTCATGAAGGGGTTAAATATATTTATATAGCACTTACAATTTACGCAGCTCTTTACATAGTTGCACATTCACATCAGTCACTGCCCTCAAGGAGCTTTCAATCCAAGGTCCCTATTTTACATGCATACATACATACAAGGGACTATTTAGAAAGGAGCCAATTAACCTACCATGATTGCCCTAGCAGCAGGGTCTCTTTAAAGTGGACCTCCACACATAACAGTAACTCTGCATCCTTCTAAATACCCCCTCCCACTAGCAAAAACGCGTCACTTTTTTTCAGGAAGGGAGGTAGTAGCTTTTTCTGCAGGTACTTACTCCTACTTTTCCATTCCTCACCTACACTGTGTCCCGTTTCCTCCCACCTGCAGCCTACTGGGATGCACATCACCCATTCCAGGAGACTACAGGACCACTCTCCCTGCAGTCTGTGTCTTGCTCATCCATAGTCGAAGGCATGTGCGAGTCGTCAGAAAGTGACAGCTGACTGCAAATGCAAGATGGTGGCTCAGAAGATTAGCTGCCCTGCGAAGAATGAAGTATGAAGAAGGCAGCACTGAACTTCATGTGGCGGTAGAGCTGTTTTTCAAAAGTCAGCAGATACAATGCGGGTAGCTGCTGACCTTTAGTTCTCCCGTAGTTGGGTGAAGTTCCTCTTTCATGGTAAAATGTCCAGAGCTTAGTATACAATGGTGTCATATAAGGTACCATTAAATACAGCACTCGGAAGATATCCTGCATGCAAGGAGTTAAACTGCTTCTATATACATACTGTGCAGCCAGACACCAACCAATGTGCTGGGCACTGAAGAATATTGCATTTTTTATGACAATGTCACATTAGGTAGAAAAAAACATTCCAAGGTAACACAGTCGAATAAGGACGCAACAACATCTGTATAGTATTACCTTTGTGAAAAGCGACATAGCAGCATGTACCATCTATTTTCTCAGTGGGCAGCGCATTGTGAATATCTGCATTCAGCGCCAAGGGATTGACAGTCTCCGTAGCCACCACTTTAAACATCTAAAAATAGGAATCATTTCAAATTTCAGCTGGTCAGACAGGGATGGTGAGAATTGAATACAAAGAGTTTAGAAATTAGCAGAAGAAGCTGACTTCAACCTGTCACGATGAAAACACGGAAGCCGCCATTACTGACCTGCTTCTGAAAAATCTAGTTGCCTGCCTGTTACGATGACTCCTTGTCTTCAGTCATTTCTGAGTCAATGATCCCGGAATAAGTACGCAGATTGGCAAAATCAGAACTGCTCATCTGCGTACTTGTCCTGGGTCAGTGACTGCTATTACAGCAATAGGGTCAGAATAAAAGCTAAGCAACTATTATTGGAAGAGATCAGCAATGGCGGCCTGCTTGTTTCTCCCGTGGCAGGTTAATCCAGGGGTGAGCAACCTCAGCATTCCAGCTGCAGTGAAGCTACAAATCCCATTATGCCTCTGGAAGTCATGTCTGTGGTTGTCAGAGTCATGCAATGCCTCATGGAACTTGTAGTTCCACAACAGCTAGAGTGCCAAGGCTGCCTGCCTGAGTTAATCTAACCCAGGGCTCAAAATTTCCAGAAGAGAGAACACAAGGGAACGATCGCCGTGGTGGTAGTGTCCCATCTCTGGTCCCGCCGGCGGCGCTCCTCGATGACATCCGCTGTCTTCTGCAGCTTCCTCCGCCCACCTCAGCTGCTAGGCTGGGAGGAAGACTGCAGAGACGGTGAGACCGGCCAGCCAGAAAGCAGGGAAATCCACCAGGAGAAAGAAGAGGCACCTGAATACCAGCCAAGTGCACTGTAAGTCCCTTTTCTTTCTTCCTTACGCTGTGCGTCACTCTGACTGACCTCTGCGCTGTGCGTCACTCTGACCTCTGCGCTGTGCGTCACTCTGACCTCTGCGCTGTGTGTCACTCTGACCTCTGCGCTGTGTGTCACTCTGACCTCTGCGCTGTGCGTTACATTACTGACCTCTGCGCTGTGCGTTACATCACTGACCTCTGCGCTGTGCGTTACATCACTGACCTCTGCGCTGTGCGTTACATCACTGACCTCTGCGCTGTGCGTTACATTACTGACCTGGCAGAGTTAAGTCCGGGGCAGGGTAGGGGTTAGGTGGGGCAACTGGTGGCGAGTAACTTTTAAGGCCTGGCTAGTAGCTCAGGACTTGAAATTTTGAGCCCTGATCTAACCTCTTAATGCTGAAGGTAAAAATAAACCTCAAAGCCTAAACCCAGTTTGCAACTTTGTCATGTGTAATTACTGTACATATCTCAGCAGCTACTTCATGTATCCAGTTCAATGATACATTCTATGAGTTGTTCAGGACAAACTGAGCCTTCATATGGTGAGAAATAGAAGCAAAGGCGTTATAGAGTTTACATTCTTTGCATGATTACTAAGGATAACAGCTGACAAGTCAAGGTGGTTTGTTAGCAAGGACTGCCACTGGCATCAACTCCTGATTCTCCTACAGCCACGGCTACTCTCCATTCTTCTACGGGCATTGTAACTCTTGAATCTCTAATAGGTATGGCAACCCTCCATTCTCTAATGGGCATGCCAATTCTTGATACTCTATTCTCTCTATGGCTACTCTGCATTCTGCTATGGACATGGCTACTCTATATTCTCCTACGGACATGGCAATTCTCCATTCTCTAATGCACATAGCAACCATTGATTCTCCTACGGGCATGGCTACTCTGGATTCTCCTACGGGCATGGCTACTCTGGATTCTCCTACGGGCATGGCTACTCTGGATTCTCCTACGGGCATGGCTACTCTTGGAACCATGTGATCTTTCAAGTATCGGTCACCCTAGAATATGCACTCCCACTGTTGCCGACAAGTGTATGTGCAAACACACAGCAGATGTACAGATCAGCTACCCTTTACACTACACCTATACAGTGTACTGCAGGAGTAAACAATTTCAGCACTTCGGCTGTGGTTAAATTACAAATACCAAGAGGCATTGCAAGATTGACAGCCATAACTCCCAGAGGCATGGTGGGATTTGAAGTTACACCACAGCAGGAGTGCGAAAGTTGCCTACCCCAGGTGTACTGTATGGTACCACCCACTGACAGCTCAGGACCGCCCACTGACAAGCAAGTAGGCAAGAGTTTCCAGTTTCACATTAGAGTTTCTCTGCATGTCACAACAATTCTACAAGTTTTAAAAAGGTTTAAAAAGTGATGATTCTTTTTGGAAAGGCCTGATATCATTTTGGTCTGAGTCTTTAGCTATGCTTTAATGCCCTGTATGTTTTTTCTGCATTGTTTGAACTGCCTGTGAAGTTTATGATGCTTGATCTATGGATCATTCATCATAGCACCTGCCAATCTATAAACCCCAGTGCTCGATAACATGCCAGCACACTACTGGCAATGCCAGGCTGGGCACAGATCTAAAGCATTCATACATTCTATTAAATGACCTCACGCATAGATCACAGACATTTACATACGACCTGCTGTTCAAGTAGAATGTTTACTGTGTTCCTAACTTTCAAACAGCTAGAAAGATCTATGCAGCAAACGGGATAACGCTGGCGCAGCAAACGGGATAACGCTGGCACAGCAAGTAAAGTGCTGAGATTACAATGCTAATGCACGTTAGGCTCAGCCTGTCAGTACATCACCTGATGTTCCCGCTTGGAGGAGGGCTCATCCGTTACCCCAGTGAGGAATACACATGGGATCTTCTGCTGTACAGCGCCTACCCGCTGCATCCCTGCTATGCACTGTAGTGTAAAGCATGTACAGACACCTTAACTGCAGCACTTCCGCCTTCCCAGCCCGCCCCTTTCTCCAGCGTCCAATTACGATGTCCGGAATACCACGGCGAGGTGAGCGGGCATGACGGGAGATGTAGTTTCTCCGCAGAGTGGCGACTGTCTGTGGATTCGTGTGCGGTGTACTGGTGCTTTCACCGGAAGTTGCCTCTTGAAGCCAGGTATTCCCTATCAACCTAGACTGGCCAAAATAATGTATTTGATTCCTTATGTACAGGGATTTATTACTAGATTTAATAGTTATTTACTTTGCTTTTATTTTAAAACCAAATAAAAGAACATTTACAAAAATGTGTATTAAAGTTTTTTGTTTTCTGCATAAAATATTTTGATTGGATAAGAGCCAGGAGGGGTTAGAACTTCTGTCAGGTCTTTCTAGCTATCTGTGTGCCTGTAAGGGAGCGTTATTCTTTCTATTTGTCCCTGATGCCCGGCATCACTAAGAGTGAATCACACCAGATGCGTTGGGGCTGCGCTGACCGTGTTTTCCTGCACAGGCCCAACCCAAGACAGGACAACAACTACCCGCCCCGCATCGGGAACTGCATGTCCCAGGCATCAGGAGATAGGAATTCTTCTTCACACCCCTGCTCTACTCACTGCTGCCCCAAGGCCGGGCCTTGGTGGGCCCTGTGGGAGATCCAGCCCTGCTTACATGCAGCCGTAACACACCGATCTGATTCATTTCAGCTAGGAACACTTTTTTCCCCGGTAGTTTTAGCAGCGACACATGCAGCACCTGCCACAGGTAAGGGTTTTACTACAGGGATTAAGAGACCACAGATGATAAAGCAGTGTAAAAATGGCCAACAGCAGGATAGTTTTAATGAGCAAGACATGGCCCAAGTTGACTAGATGCATACAGCACAGGCTGGACCTTTACTACAAGATCTAAGGCACTGCAGAGGATACAGCACTGTAAAATTGACCAGCAGCAGGACAGTTTAAATTAGGGATAAAAGGCCCAACCAGTGTATTCCTAACTTTTATTTCATCTATGGGGATAGGGAGGAACAGTGACTGTGAATGAAATAATTTGAGGTGGTTGACACTTGCACTTAATTTTTTTCTTTTTTTTCCAAAACCATGTAGCGGTGGGCTACATCTAAAAGGCAGCTCCAAGCTATGGTATTGTATCCATGATCTTACAGGCCAAATTGTGTTTGTCCAATTCTGTCTTTATATCTAATGTTTTTCATACTAAAACCCAATAAACCTGATTTACTTAAAAGGCAGCTATAAAAACAGATGGTCATAAACAAGTAAATACTGCATCTTGAGCAACCCAATCGTAGAAAAAAAGCATAAAAATAAAAAAGAAATCCCGAAAAGAAATTAAACCCCCAATATTCCACCCCCCACCCAAAACCTACTTTTTATGAGAAGGCTGAAATCAAACAAAAAAAGTTTGACATCAATTTAAGGCCCTATCAATATAAAATAAAAATAAATAAATTAAAACCTCAAACTATCCCCCCCCCCCCTCAACACACGTCCAGACCAATAATAAAAACCACAACAAGGAAGGCAACAAAGGGGTTAATTGACCATAAATCTAGCAATCAGAATAAAAGTACATTTACCTAACTGATCCTAATCTCCCTTTGCAGTTTGTCAGCTTTCCCTATCCTTTCCATACAGCACCTTCCAATACACTGTCACTATGGCTGCTCTGTGTCCTCCTTCATAGTGAGGTGTCCGGCTTATTCAAACATCTCTTTATTGGCCCTTCTACGCTTGCTGGTCATAGTTCAAAGGCCATGCAGTGCATTATGGTTTTAAAAAATTGTCCCAGGTTAATTCAGACATAAATTTGCAGGGACCACCCATTTCAAACCCACAGAATGTTTGGCAAACCCACAGTAGCAGTGAATCCAAGCCTCATCCCTAAACCCCCATTCAGACTGCACGGCACATTTATGCATGCTTTTGTGCATTTTGTTGTCAATGATCAATGTAAGGAAAAATGCCCCAGACTCAGTGGGAGGACAATTACATCATTTGTGCCAAAGTGGACCAGGAAGTGAATGAACTCTATTTGTAAGTAAAATAACAAAATATGTTTGTTTAACTAATGAATGTAATATGGTTTTATATCAGCTTGGAGAGCTGCATGCTGATGTGATTTTTAGTGAAAGGGGGTCCACTTTAACACAGTAGTGTATGTCATGTTGATACCACTTGATAAAGACTGTATAGCAGGCATCATAAGTAGGGATGCACCGATACCAAGTACAGTACTATGTACAAGTACAAGTGCCGATACCTTTCGAGCTCCAAGACTAGACTAGGGAAAAATTCAAAAGTTAGAAGGCAGTTGTCATTTGTAAGAAGCACACGGGGCTCCTGGGATTTGTACATCTCTGTTTTATTGTATGATTTTGTTTTTATAAATATAAATAAAGGGATGCACAGATACCAGTTTTGCGAGTACGAGTACTGATACTTGCCCAAGTACTTACAAGTACGAGTACTGATACATTTTTGTTTAGTGTCATGTGACAGTTTTTCTAAAACAATACAGACTAATGATTTCAGGACAGTGGTGGAGCACTAGAGCCAGGTCCCAGCTGCAACCGCTGCAACCCTGGTAGTTCTCATGAAAATGCCAAGTATCGGCACTGGTATTCAAAAAGTATTGGTGTATCCTTAATCATAAGGTATCAGCTCCAACGTTTACAGTGCTTTCTCCACAATTCACTGTTGGAGCCCCGCTAAAAAAATTCTATTCAAGCACAAACTTTCTGAAGGAAATTGGCCAAATATCTAGCCCACAGAAGTGACTACTCTGACCTTATTCCACATTTTAT